AAATGGTTGGATTGGTGAAGCGCTAGCGGAACATGCTGCTATCAGCAAGACCCCAGCGGCGAGGGGGCTGAGCCAGGTCAATACGGATATGATGAGTGTAGGGATGAGGTATTTTGCCCTCAGGCATCGCCCGAGAGGGGAAAGGGGCTGATGGGCGGTAGGGAAAGAATGTATTCGCATGGGGGAATATTCAGCATTACCTCTCGAATATTGGTGGTTGACCTACTGTCGAGTACGGCTCTTGGACAGAAGGAGTAGGGACGGGGCTGACTATCTAGAGTTGCTGAGTCCTGAGACCGTTACGGGGCTCGTGGTGCTTCACTCTGAGAGGTATGGGAGCCCATCGAAGTGCTGCTCCAGATCTGACAGTAGCCAAGGATCATTGCCACGTCCATCGAAGCCTTCATCATCCGTATCTACCGCCAAATGAACAAGGCCGGCTTTCTCAAAGCATTCTCCGACAATCCTGAACCGTTCACCACTGGCTTTGCGCCTCTGGCATCGATGATGCGCAACCTCTTCCTCAGAAAACCTTCTCTCTGGCCACGTTTCCATGTCACTGTAGCTAAGTCGCTTGAGGGTCGCAAGAAAGCGGAAGTTATCGAGCTTGAGGTGCCCATGACAGATGGGATGCGAGATATCCAACATGCTATACTCGAATGTGTTGAAGTCAGCATTGGCGAGCTCCGAAAGGCGGACACAGGGTTGGAATTGGATGACTGGACGCTAGACAGTGCGCTGCACAAGAATTTTGATGTTATCGTGCGGAGACAGTTGGACCCGATATGGCATCGAGTGAGCTACAGAACAAGACAGATCGTGAACGATCTCAGTGTTTTACGGGGTATACTACATGCGCTCCTCACTTATGATGCAGTCTCATTCAATAAGTACCTGGACACGATCTTGGCTGCCCATCAGCCGCCACCGGGCTCAAATCGTCAAAATCAATCGCCGTGGTTGTTTCTCGACGCGGCTAATACGATGTTTGAAACCGCAAAGCGCAGAGTATATACTGGTAAGCCCATCGATGGAGAGGTTCCTGAAGCCTCGGGTGCTTTGCCAGACTCACTTCGTCCCGTACTTGAGGAGCAGCCAAAATGGGCACTGCTGGCCGACATACTCGAGGAGATTGAGCGTGATGCATACTTCAATCCTGGCATACGAGATGACTCAAGCGGGACCATTCTCATTATGTGTTCGGATCAAGGGACGTGCCGTCAACTTCGAGAGTTCTTGCAGAACATGCACGTTCGTCCGCAGCAAACGAACGAAGATGACGCGGCAGACGGTGATGCCGAGGTAAAAGCCTCTGCGACGTTCATGATGAGAAGGAAACTGAGGAATTATCTCAATTGGAAGAAAGATTTCGCTCGAGTCAGCGCCTCGCTCTTTACAGAGAATCAGAAGGTCCTCGAGGGTTTCACTGACCAGAGAGGTGCCGACGGATATCGAGGCAAGGGCCCACCGAACAAGCGGAGAAGAGTCAGAGGTGGCTCGTCCGCAGCTTTTGGTGGCGGCAGACCTGGCAATAGCAGTCTGCAAATGGCGGAGGACAGAGAGTCCCAAGTAGCAATGCTTTTGGCAGACATACAACCAACCGACGCGGATGGCGCACAGAAGGATGAAGTCGCGATAGACTCTTTGGACGACATGGAAGACTACTTCGAGCTTTACGAGATGAGCGATCTAGTAGTTGTTCATCCCTATGATGGTGACATGGACGAGCATGTTCTCGAAGAAGTGCGACCAAGATACGTGGTCATGTACGAGCCTGATGCTGCATTCATCCGGAGAGTGGAGGTCTACAGGAGCTCGCATGATGATCGTAACGTCCGAGTGTACTTCATGTATTACGGAGGCTCTGTGGAAGAGCAGCGGTACCTCAGCGCGGTTAGAAAAGAGAAGGACGCTTTCACAAGACTCATCAAAGAAAAAGGAGTATGGAGGTTTCAGTGTCACGGTCTCGTTGACTTCAATCGCTAATCGGCTCGCAGAACATGGCCGTAACCATTACGCTGGACGGCACTGCGCCGTCGGACCCCCAAGAACAATTCCTTCGTACTGTAAACACACGCATCGCAGGCGGTGGTCGCCTGGCTGCCACTGCTGAACCTCCCCGCATTGTCGTCGATGTCCGCGAATTCCGCTCCTCTCTCCCCTCCCTTCTGCACGGTCGCTCCAATGTCGTCGTCCCTTGTATGCTCACAGTTGCCGACTATGTGCTCACTCCCTACATATGCATTGAGCGGAAAAGCGTGCGAGACCTCATTTCCTCATTCAAGAACGGACGCCTCTTTAACCAAGCAGAGACGATGCTCCAACACTATAAGTATCCGATGCTTCTTATTGAATTTGACCAGAACAAGTCTTTTACACTCGACACATTCGGTACCGATCACACCACGACGCTCAGTACAGCCAACAATCCGCAAGATTTGCAGTCTAAACTTGCACTTCTTACACTTGCCTTTCCCCGCCTGAAGATCATCTGGTCATCCTCACCATACCAAACCGCGGAGATCTTCGACGAGCTGAAGAAGCAGCAGGAAGAGCCAGATCCTATCAAAGCGGTGCAGATCGGCCTCATTGCTGGCGAGGATCCAAGCGATCAGAGCTTCAACCAGACGCCGCAGGATATGCTGAGAGCGGTGCCCGGCATGACCGAGAAGAACCTCTCGCGAATCTCCCTCGAAGTTGGAGACTTAGCAGATGTCAGTAACCTGACGGAAGAAGAGCTTGACGTAATGGTTGGAAAAGAGGCAGGACGGCAAGTTTACAGATTCTTCAATAGGAGTGTGCTGGAAGATTGAGTGCAGAATAGCATGGCTAGGATGGAATGACTGGCGTTCTGCATTGTGGGCGCTCATGAGCTGAATACAGCAGAGGAACCCCAGGTCAAAGGGAATACGATTCAGAAATCTTTGAGCATTTGTATCCAGCATAGCGTCGTGAGGTGGACAGCGAAATGAAAAAGGCCATGTATTTTTGAGAAGCCGAAGATCATGCCTGTCCCTGTGCGATACGCAACTTTCTCTTCAAACCACGCCTCGCTTGTCGTCATGACGAGTACAGGCCGTGTTGCATATGCCTTGAGGGTGTGGCACCACCAAAGGAACGCAACCGTACGAACACCAGCATGCATGCACCATCTAGCCCGCTCATATCTCATCAACATCAATATCCTTTTCATCACTGCTGTTGTCCCGATCTTCGTCGAACTCAACATTGTCATCCACACCCTCATGACCATACCTAAAATACGATATGTCAGCATCTCTTTGCCCAAAGCGAAGAAGGCTGGCACGTACGTATCCGTTTCGTTAATCTTGGCCGTCTCCGGCAGCTCCCCATATGCCTTCAGACTTCTCGCCTCATCCGCACTGTACTTGAGTATGACATCCCCCTTCTCGTCTTGGTAGTCTCGGAGGGATAGAAGTATTATGTCGCCCTGGTTGATCCAGACCTTTTTTCGGAGCTTGCCGCGGATATGTGCGAGGCGCTTTTCGCCGTCGAAGCAGAGGGCTTCGAGACGGCCGTTGCCGAGCATTTTTATAACTTGGGCGTATTCTGGAAGAGGTGAGGATGTGGTTAGAAAACTGAAGCGGTAGAATAGCAATGGCAAGGCAACGCGGAGAAGTACCTTGGCCTTCTTCTTTGAAGGTCAGTTCGCGCTTCTCATTGTCATTCTCGTTCTTTCCACGACGTCGATTTTTACCACCCTGAGGTACAAGTCAGTCAAACCATCCTGCCCTTCATGTTGAGTCTGAGCGGGCATATGGGGCCTCAGGTGGCTGTGAGAAGGAGCGTCTTACTTTTCCCTTGTTCTTGGGCATATTGACTTCGTCTGGTTGTGTTTGGAGTGGTCACAAGTGCTTTGGGGCCAGAAGTTGCGGTGGTTGCAAATTTATAGATGTTTGGTGGGGTCACTGGGGTGGCGGTTGACTCAGTAGCGGCGGCGACCCGCCCACCCCCTAGCGCGTATGGCGAAAGGCAGAGTGTTGTGACTGTCTTCTCGCATTCAGAACCTGTTGTTCTTATACAATGAGGGATCTGATTCCAAGTCATGCTTCGACCCGGTCGTGCAACCCTAGCAAGCGCGTATTTGCTCAATCATGGGACTCGGAGGACTCTAAAGACGAAGACTATTGACGCGCGCGGTCATCCCCCTTTCCTCTCCATACGATCCCTAACTGTGTGCCGTGTCTCTATATCTCCAAAGCACAAGATCTCACATAACGCCCACAGGATTTTAAACGACCGGTCGCATGTTCTCTACTTGCCCACGCGAAAGCGATGCCAGGCCATTCTAGACGGCCGATACGATGAGCGCCAGGAGGGCTTATGGATGGTTTTCACAAGCAATCCGATGCAGAAGAAGAGGGTTGTTAGAAGCTGGGCAACAAGGAGAGTTGACCAAGCCGTGACAGGGGCTCTGAGAATGAGAGGATTCGACAGGAATGGGAGAAGACTGGTGGATCCAGATGCCGGTACAATGAAAGGATCAGAATCGAACAGTAGGCCAAGTAATGTGACAATGGAGTATGTACCGGAGGCTCTGATAGGCACGGTCGATGTTCAGATCCTGCATGATAGTATTGCAAGGAGCTTCACGGAGGTGCAGAGGCAGGCAGGGCTGGTGGTGGACAAAATCTTGAAGACTTGCGGTCGCTACCCTCGTCATCCATAGTACGATCAACAGCAGGAACCGGCAATAACACCGTACAGCATGATCAAAATCGAATAGTCATCTTTGAGAAGGCTTGAACACAGAGAATGGAGGAAGATGATCCATTTACGGACATGCTAGGTTACCCTTTCCGGCGCCATCGAGACTTCCATGCTATGAACATCCACCTGGTTGCTTTTCTGAAAGCCTCAGGCCTAAGGGGATACACCGCTTCATATCTTCTCTTGGGGTATCTGTCGCCTGCCTAAGCGTCAGCATCGCCTTCGACAAAACCAGAAACCGAACCAACATACGAGAAGGAAGTGTCACCTTACGGGTTGAGCTCCTCGGAACGAGCCTTCAACTCCTCCTTGCTAGCCTTTGGTGGCATGTCTGGAATGTCATGAGCAATTAGCCACCGTATTCGCTCGCAATGCCGGGTTGGCGACATACCGCTCATGTTCATGGGGATCGCAGGACCTTTGGATTGATGATCTTCAGCGGACGCTTTGCCTGGAGTGTGCTCGTTCTCATGATGCTCTACCAGAGTCCGAGTCAGTAATCCATCTTGGAAGTCGGATAGGACACGTCGAGGGTGACATGGGACAAGAGCCCGTGCTCTCTAGCACGCCTTGCGAATTGAGTTGGAATAGCAGACAGAAAAGGAGTAAGCCGAAAAGCTACCTACCGTGATCGCTGGCTGTTGACTCCGATGCCGAGGACGGATCCTTCGCGATTTTCTCGAATATGCCCGAAGGCGCTTCTTCTTCAGATGGGTGGACAGGCATTTTGGATGAGAGGTTGAAGACTGATCGAAGTAGTAGGATTTGGATAGGTTCAGCGAAATGAAAGTGAAAGTGAAAGAGAAGGTGTGAGGGTCAAAAGACATTTTTGTATGAGCGATAATCCAAGCCTACGTCACAAAGATGGAGGGGTCTGTTTATTTACGGCCACAGCCGCCTCGCCGCCACCCCCCTACTGCAAATCATCTTACCACGGCTGCGCGACATTGACATTGACATCGCCGCCAAGATGTGAATGCTTTCTAGGAACTACGGTATGGACGTATATCGCTGTTCGTTATAAGGTACCTCAAATTCAATGCCTAGATCACCGTTTGTGTCCATTCAGCGGGAATCGATATACCTGAGAAACCCAAGTACGTTGCTTCATCGCGGTCTCTGAGACGCGCCTTCCTCAAGTCGACATCTCACTCCAAGAACCCTAGGCTCGTGCCCGCTCTTTTCAGGTCTTCAGCGAAACTTTACCTCTCGCCACTGCAGAATCATGCCTGTGATCCGTCATCTGAGCTCAATCTTCACTTCAACTGTTTAGTCTTGAGGACAGTTGCCTTTTCCTATATGCATGAAGACACCAAAGCCTGTTCCGTTTTTTGAGACCTGCAGGACTTAATTACATAGACCCTGCCATTCTTTCTGCACAATAACTCTCTTTCCCGCAGCCTCATCGCCCAACAAATCGCCGTCCCTACGCGTCCAAGGGCAATCACCCACAAGCCCGCTCTCTTTGCTGCTGTCGTTAGCAGTTCCCGTCTGATATCCTTCACTAATACCACAAACTCCGCACCTTCATTGACCCGAGGAAACGTTCCCTTTGGTTGCTGACGCCGCAAGAACTCACACAATGGTCCCCACCCATCCTGCACCTTCCATTTCAATAATTCCTCCTTCGGTATCAGCTACCTCACCCTATCCATCGACCTCGGATGTACAGAAATCGCATTCTCGCGTTTGTGAGAGCCCCCAAAAGCCGCATAGTGAAGCTGATAGCTTACGGGCCACCACTGGGCCATACTGTTGTGGAGAACGCATAGGTAATTTATGACTGAATCGTGCAAGAATGCGAAGATGGTGGCGCGGAAGGAGGTGTACCACGAGTCAAGATCGGGGGTTTGCAGGATCACTTTTGCTTCTGGGTAGGCGGCGATGAGTTCGGGGGCGAAGTAGACGCAGGGGTTATCTGTTATGGCCCGATGAAGAAGGACACATCAAGATCTGCCACTCTAGGACAACGAGTGGCGATCTTGAGAGTACTAGATCTCACCTGGAAATCTCCTAGGATTTCATCCCAATCTGCTCGGGTAAAAGTCCCTTTACTGAGGAACTTGGCCTCGTATGCCCGTTTCCATAAAGCGCTGTGTTGAGGGTTCTGGATCCAGGCGAAGTAGTGATAGCAATCCGTGTAACCGAGTTGGAGTGAGAATTCTTATTTCTTCAAAATTGGAAATGGATACTAGGGAAATCAAGCACAGCTGGTTGTTCCTTCTGTGTCGGAAACATGTCGTATGAAGCAAAAAGAAGAGCTGAAATGGACAGCGCAAAGTCTGGTTGGAGTGTTATGAGAGACTGCATACATAACGTCCCACAGCGAGGAAAGCCAAAGCAAGAGAACACGCATTGGCACTCTACGCCTAGACACGTCCATTGTCGAGGACGACGTTGCTATTGCGATGCTGCTGGTCGGTATGGCAGAACCGAATGAGAAATAGAGATGGTTTTAATTGACCACAAAAATTGTGCAACGTAAATGAGCTCAGGAAGTTGGTAGACTCTCGGATATGGAGGTTCGCGGATTCTCGAGTAGGTAACACAAAAGCCAAAGGATTGTTCAGCCTTAAACACTAACGGCGCAGGAATCCAGACCCAGCAAGCCTTTGGTTTGACAAGCCGATTATAGTCGGCAGTCGTCCGGGTTGAGTAGGTACGTGTAATGCGATCGGCTCTTTCTGAACAACCTATCCATTCTTTACAATCCTCCATAGCCCTCCAGCCCTCCTCAACATCTCGATCCCATATCCTAGCTCAACAACGCCTCTGCACACCTCCCAAGCCCTTCGCGCCCCTTCGATTGGATAGTCCAACGCTGGCGGAATTGAAGTGCTGATCAATCCCGGAAATCTATCTCGACAGACAGCTTTTGTATTGCTGATTGATCTCAATCCTTCCTCTCCACCAAATCTTCCGTAGCCACTACCTCTGACGCCGCCAAAAGGCAGGGAGACTGCGTAGTAGACCGCGAAATCGTTGATGCTGATCATGCCCGCATTGATCTCCTTTGCCGCTCTCTCCAAATCCTTGGTAGCTGTTCCAAAAACACTAGCGCCGAGGGCGTAAGGAGTGGAGTTTGCCATGCCGATCGCCTCATCCAGTGAAGCAGCCCGCATGATAACGCAGATAGGTGCGAAAAGTTCTTCGGTCGCTATACGCATAGAAGTTGTGACATCGACAAGCAATGTAGGCTGGAAGTAGTGGCCTTTCGGATATCGATGATGCACGAATCTTTTGCCACCAACGAGACATCTTGCTCCTTGGTTGACGGCGTCAGTCACAAGCTTCTCCAAGTGCCCGAAGCGAGAATCCGAAACCATGGCTCCAACATCCACATCATTGGGGTCGTCGAGGGCAGAGCCTACCCGCAAAGCCCTGATCCGAGATTCGAGGATCGTCACAATTCGGGGCCAGATTCTGTGGAGGCAGATAATACGCTCAATGCCAATGCAGTTCTGCCCAGCTGATTGAAAAGTACCTCGCATGAGTATGCTAGCCACCTTTTCAAGATTCTTCACATCATCGAGGAGTATGGCAGGATCTTTGCCGCCAAGTTCAAGGCAGAGAGGAGTAAGGGAGCGGGCGGCGGAGAGGGCAACATGGTGGGCGATAGGGCGAGAGCCGATGAAAGTTACATGACTAATGCCCGGATGAGACGTGAGATGGGACGCCGTCTGCGGCCAGCAAAGCACGGGCTGGACTAAATTGGCAGAATGACCGCAAGAGACCAGGGCTGCACGGGCAATAGTCCCGAAATACTGAGTCGACCACGCAGTAGACTCGGAGGCTTTGACGACGAGGGCAGAGCCTGTGAAAAGAGTGGATATCAAGGGACCCATGAAGTTGTGGAACTAGGGCATGGATTAGCTGACCCGGATGGGAGCATGATAGAGCGCGTATTTACAGGATAGCTGCGCCAGGTCAGCGGTCCGAAAATATGGTGACAGTGCTTCCACCAAGACGCAAGACCTACTTCCAGCTAACACAGGCAGCGATGACTCCTAAGGGCTCCCATTTGACCTCATTATACTTGTACATCATGAGGAAGTTCGTAGGTCTCCTCTCCGGCCTCAATGACTTCTCTCCATGCTGTATAGTCCACTTCAGCTTTTCCACGGTGACCAAAATCTCCCCAAGAGATGCATCGACCTTGGTCTTCCCGGAGTCTAGACAAGCTGCCGTAGCTATGGTATCTTGATTGTCGAGGATGTATCTGCGTAGATCGAGAGCTGTCAGCTCAATTTTTGCAGGAACCATCCCGTTGTAGATCTGGGCTTAACGCACTTCAGCATCGTCTTGAGTACCCTCCGTCGTTGCTTGAACGTTGTTCTCGCCCATTCTGTTTGAGCTTCCTTGGCTTTGGCTATCGCTCTGTCAATTCCATCAGGCGTGGAAGGGTTCACAAGCCCGAGTAGTCGGCCGTTGGCTGGACAATAGCATCGTATGGCGCTCGATCCCGATATCTGTGACTCTTGTTGGCTTACGTACAACGGTGTTGAAGAGGGTGGTACCTTGATCGTAGGCTCTTCTAGAACTTCGCCTTTCCACTCCGGAGAACATTGCTCAGGCACGGGGACTACCAATTTAACGAGTCTTTCCTCGTCATCGTCGAGGACTATAATCTTGATGGCAGCGAAGACAAAAACGACCGACAAAACAAATATCGAAATCTCAAGCCATGGCCATTGGGTAGGAGGGTCGTTGAGAGTGTCCATAGCCGGGATCGGCGAAGCTTGCGATTTCAATGTCACACCTGAGTTAGAACCCGCCACGGCAGCACAGTCACTAGCTCACAGTAAATTTTTGAACGATCAATGATAGCAGACGTCTGTTACGACCGTATATTTGAGAGAGGATTCACGAATAACTACATGGTGAGGCGCTGTGAGAGTGGTTGAAGAATTGGTGTACGCTTTTCTGCACGGGTACAAGCCAATGCTCAAGAAGCTTCCCATTATTAATGCCGCATCGCTCCTCCGATACACGAGATGAATAAAGCAGTGGTATCATGCGCTCTCCTAACAATGCCTCCCTTGCAACGGTCACTACTGATATCCTCCATCACGCACGAGTTTCCTTGTCCCGGTCCATGCAGTGACCTCGACCTTGACGACCCCTGGGATTAGACTGCACTTCTCCCACCGCGCCTACGCCCTCCTCCACGGCCACAAGTCAAGCAGGAGATGATGATGTCGAAGCAGGAGACGATGCCGGCGATGATAGCTTGCAGGACAGATCCGATGCCGTTAACGATTGCCATGAGGCAGGATCCGAGGGTCTGGAAGAGCGATTCGATCTGTGATTGATGACATGTAAGCGGCGAAAAGTCAGGAATTTGAGGGCGATGATTTAGGTTTAGAAGTGACGTCTCAGCCTGTAGGAGCAGGCCAGTAGTCATTTGCAGATAGCTACCAGGGATAAAAAGGAATAGATTGGCAAACGTACGCATGATACGACGGCGCCCATTTTGACTGGTAGAGCGCGTGTAGCACCTTATTTTCAAACAGGGGACGAGGGTTTGAAAGCTGTGCGATGGGCTGTAGGGGCTCGAAGTTGATGGGCGGTTGCAGTGCTTGTATGGTGTCTCGAGGAGTACTGTTGGTGATAATGATGGAAGAAAGAAGAGGGAACAAGTCAGAAGACTGAAGTTCTGTCGGCTAGTTGCAGGGCTTGGCTGGGTGGTCGCTTCCCGGAAATAATGAAGAAGTTGATGGGGAAAACGTGAATGCAATTTCGCAAAACTTGGAAAAGCTCATCTCTTTATATGAGTTGAATTAAAACCCATGCTTACTTGCCAGGCCGATCTCAGGCATGATTGAAATCTACGAGAGCGCTTCTTTGTTTTAATGACGCACAAGGTTTATCATCTGCCAAAATTGGGAGGGCACGAGACGCATCTTACTCTTTGAAGCTTGGGTTTGCTCGATAGTCTTGGAAATGAAGCATTATGGTATGTTTATTTGCCAACTCTAGACTGGAATTTCAGCCACCGCTACTGCGAGAATTATTCCATCAAGGGGAAGGACGTGGATGATAGCCACCGCTAGCAAAACACGCCAGTGTTCATTGGGGAATTAACATGAAGATCCCTTGTTGATCCTGTGGCTTATCGGGCCCTGATCCGAACTCGTAGACGCACCAACAACTTGCCATTCTGCTCACAAAGTCTCAGGCTTCGAGGAGGGCACGGAGGGCAAGACATCAACATACCGTAGAGAATCCTCTGGGCCACCCATGTCCATGACGCCGATCAAGGTTCGCGGCAAGAGAGCCCCGGTTCAGACGGAAAGCTCAAATCACTCCATCAACTCTGTCCTGAACCCATATCCGAAGGGCAAACGGCCTGTCTCTCCTGCTTCCCACTTCTCAACTTCCCTAGCCAAGTTGCCTCGTCATATCAACAATGTTGGTGAGAACTCGGGCCGGCATGCGAGGTTCGCAGCTCCTTTCGAGCAACTGCCAACCGAACTGTTGGAGACCATCTTCTTGCATGATCTGAACATAAGCCTGCCGCAAGCTTCACCGATCATTGGTAACAAGCTCGCGTCTAAACATGTGAAAACCCAGCTCGTGCTCAGAGTATGCAGTGCGGGAGGACTCAGTACCTATCCCTGCGAACAGGCCGCCTTATTTCCATCTATGACGGACCATGCAGAAGCTCAGTCTGCTATTCTGCGAATGAGGTGGATGACATGGACATTCATTAGGCAGCTCATACCCGACTATATAACAAAGACCTTAGTGCGAGAACTCAGTGAGCGCGGGCTACAATGGATGGGGAAGGGCCCTTTGGTGACAAAGGAAACCGAGTCTACAATCCGACAGTATCTGGAGGATAATACCGTTCGTTTTACAAAAAGAAATCAAGATGATCCACCGGTGTTCTGGAGTATCAGTTGGCGTATTGAAAACCCTCCTAGGTTCATACGCCTTTCATTTGGACTTCATGATGGCCTGGTCACGATCGAAGACCGCCGCGTACACGGATTGGACAGGTCCGCACAACACGTCAGGTCATTGTCTGCCGAGCGTGACCAGTGGAGGATCTTTTGTGGTATCAATGGTTGCAAAATACCAGAAAAATTGCTGCACGGGCCTTGGACCACGGAAAAGTGTGACTTCCTCGAGATGGTCATCAGGGGAAATGCTACCGTCGACTGGGTCGGCACTACCAGTGGCGAAGTCGCCGAAAAAGGCTTGATGCAAGCTTTGCGAGAAGGTAATGCCCGTGCAACGAGATTACTAGTGACGAGAGCTGGATCCCTTGTCCCTCAGGGGCTCTGGGGCCTTCCCTACTTACGTAGTAGTAGTACCGACATCGAGAAACTAGATTCCGGGCCTTGGCCGAGGGAAGATTTGGTCCAGGCTAATGGTTTTGACCTGAGAGGCGTCGGTGTTATTCCTCGAACGAAACACTTGAGAACAGCAGTCCTCGAAGCAGGTTGTCAGCAGGACATTGTCGAAACTCTGTTCATGGCCGAAGATACGAACATCGACGTTGAGGACCGATTTATTCTTCATTGGGCCATTGAGAAAAGAGTTCTAGGTGATGAGCGTGGCCCGTGGCTGCTCTCGATGCTCTCCTTACGTGCTGCCGGTGGCACGAAGGAGCTGTTTGCACCATCTGCATCACAGGGCCGTGCCTTTGCCGCAGATTAGGCCTGCGAAAAGGAATTGATGGTTCGAGGCAAGACTGTTGATTGGCATAAACGATATGACCCGAGACGAAGCATGCCAGTATGTTTGTGGTATCTTCCTTGATCGTTCCAGATCCCTTTATAGAATCAAAATGGAACTCAATGGTAGAATGAGAAGTAAGGGCCGCGCCCTCGCAGTCTAGTCAAGTATGCTTGAGGACCACTGAATTCTCTTTCGCAGCAACTCGTCTCCGTCCATGTATGTCCCAACACAGCCTCCGCGGCTTTGTCATTAAGATCTTGCCTCTTTCACAAGTTGGCCATCGTTTCCCAACTATCAATCTGTCCGAATTCAAGAGTATCACGTCACTGACGCATCGGCTACAAAATGTCATCATATTCTGACCCCAATCCAGTAAGACACATAGCGACGTAGCCGCTCGATTGTCTCGGTGCACCTTACAAAATGTCGGATAAGCAATGTATGGATACGGTATGGTGCGGGCATATGTCCCAATAGCTTCTGGTTAAGTCAATCACTGTTGTTGAGGAAGGCTCGAGCTATGGCGATTGTTTGATCTTGCGGTTGGAAGTACGTATGAGTGATTGAATATTGCACGCTATGCTATGCTAGGGTATCTATGCTAGACAATGCGAAATCGTAAGCCTTCTACCTGGGTCTTAGGTATCGAGAGCTGGTGGTTCGTAGATTCCATGATTTGAGAGGAAGATTGGGGGAAATAGCCGGAACGCATGCCGTAGGTTGTTGGGCGGCTGGTGGTGTGAATATGTGGTAGCACATGTGCCGGTCGGTTTTCGAAGAGATCTGATGTAGTTGAGAAAGAAGTGAAGTGTGATGTTGGCGTGGTCTGCTTAAACAGCTCAACTGCCGTCGTCCACCTCGGCATCTGTCGCAGTCTTCCTGTCCTCATCACTCTCCACCGCCTTTCTTCGCTTTGCCCCTTTCTTCCCAGAGTTGCCCTTGCTCGCTTTCGCCGCCTTCGTGACCCCGGCTGGTTTCACCACCTTTCCAGCTTTAGCTTCACCAGCTTTTCCTGCCTTGATTGCTTCAGTGGCTTTCACTTTCACAAGCTTCGCGGAATTTGTCGCGGGGTCAGCCTTCGTTTTCTTTTGGCCTTTCGTAGGGCTGTAGTCATCCTCATCTTTGCCAAGCTCCATTTCCTCGTTCCCAACATCTTCCATGTCCTCGTCATCGTCATCGCTGTCCAACTTGTTCCTCCCCTTTCCTTTCGTCGCCTTTCCGCCTTTCTTCACAGGGCTAGCCAGGCCTCCCTTTTTCTCGCCGTACCTCTTAACCAAATGCTCGATCGGACAGTTGGCATCAGCCCATCCTTCACTGGTCTCACCGGTGATAGCTCTGCACCTTCCACAGTGGTTTCCATGATCCCAAAAGAGCTGATGTAGGCCATACTTGAGATTCTCTGGAATTCGAACCTCGCAGTGCTTGAACGTGTTCACTTCGTTCACCTCGGGTCTCTTCCTCTCTCCTGGACCGACCTCTTCATCTTTAGGCGGTACCCACCCGAGATACCTGCACAGACGGAAGACGTGAGTGTCGACGGCAAAGCATGGCTTCTGCATACAAAATAAGGCAACGCAGGCGGCAGTCTTCACACCAATACCGGGGTACTTTTGCATGGCCATGAGCGCATCATCTTTGGAAAGGAGATGATAGTAATCGAGCGTTAGGATGTGTCTTTCGAAAAGATCAATCTCGCCTTTCATCTGTGCAAGGTTCATTGGATCTGCGCCTTCCGGTGCAGCAGAGGGGTCATCGTTTTCGATGACTTTGGTATGAGCTTCGCACCGTCCTTCGTTCTCCGAGTAGACCATATCGAGTATAGCCTTCATGTTTTTGCTCTTATTTTTTGCCAGACCGCCGGTCTTGATGGCTTGAAAGACGTCGTCTATGGTGGCATGACGTATGGCAGTCCAATCGACACTGCCATTGCAGGGACCCGACTCTTGAAGGCCGAATCGCTTCACAAGACCCTGGAAGGCGCTGCTGGAATTGCGCTTAGACGTAGCCGCACTGAGCAGGGTACGGAGCATGGCGTCGAGAATTGTAGGCACTTCGCCGCACCCAGCAACAAATTCCGAGGGGGGTGGAACGGTGTCCGGCTGGATGAACCTGGAGTGCTGATCCTTGGGGAACGCATTCATAAGGAGATCATGGACGACTTGGCACTCCTCTGGTGTTGGATGCGCCCAGTCAGGATAGGGATCACTGCACGGGAAGTGATCGACTTTTTTGGCTTTCTTTTTCGGCGACTCTTCAGATGCGTCGATGGTACTAGCGGCTTCGACCATGGATATAGCATCCTCAGGCTTGCTTTTCTTCACTGCGGATTTTATCGGGGTTCCAGTCTTTGCGGACGCTGCATTTTCTTGCGCAGCCTCATCCTTTAGTTGGTGACTCTTTGCTGAGGGTCGCTTCCCCATGTTGTGCGGTAGCTCATCGGGATGGTCCTCAACCTTGGGCGCCGCAGCAGCTCTCTTACGCTTCCTTGATATGCTTGCCGGGAGCGCTGGCCCTTCGTGTTCTGACTTTGTCTCGAGAGTCTGTTCCTTCTTGGCTGCTTCCCTCTTTGGTGGTTGAGAATTAGTGGCTGAGACGGGCATTCCTGTAGCTTCGTTGGCTTCTACTTTCACTTCTGGCGTCGTTTTCTTCACTGTCGCTTTGCTCCCAGTGCTAGCCTGCGCGTTGACCTTTGATGGCGCAGGCGTTGCAGGCGGACTTGAAAGCTGGTGCTCATGATTTTCCTTATCCGAAGCCAACAAACTTGGTTCCCTTCCTGCTGACCTGCGGGTCACACGAGTAGACATGGCTGAGATTCTTGGCCACGCGAGAGGTGTAGAAGATGTGAAGAGTTGACTGGAAGGGTGAGTCTTCCGGTAGAATGTGTGGAATTCAATGCACTTGAGCTGCAACTTTTGCCAATGCCAAGAACAAGCGTGAGTTGGGATTTTCCACAATGTAGAAGGCAGCTCGAAACGAAACACTGTGGCATACTAGAGGGAAAGTAGAGGGAAAGTAGAGGAAAAGTAGAGGGAGAGAGACAGTTGTATGGAATACTGTACAGTGGAAAGATAAAGTAAAGTACGGTAAAGTAGTCGGAGGCAGAACTCAAGCTGTGACCACTGATGATGATGATGATGAAAATGCACCGTCTTAGCGCCGACACCACCGACACCTGCAGAAGTGACGTACATGTAGAGTAATGTACCTAAAGTTGAGACTACCTTAAGGTACTGTACTGTCTACTTCACTGATGATATTTATGAGGAAGAGTACGAGTTCTACTATTCACGCAAAAGGCGTTATTGCACACAAGAGAGATTTTGACTCCACAAGGGCTAATATTTACGGCCTTCTTAGGTACGTACTTTCCAACTCCAATTACCCACAAATACATATTTCATAAGGTTAACACCACCAAAAAAATAATTTATCAAATTCTCGAACCCAGTCATTCTCTTACAGTTACTTTTAGAAATTCAGGATTGGGGCTAATGCAGGTACACTTCTTGATCGTTGGTGGCGTCAATTTGTTGGCACTTCGAATAGTAGGTACGATAGTACTGTGATGGTACCGGAGCAGAGCATTAAATGCTCGACTCAATACCAGATGGCCTCCCAAATGCACGGAGAAGCAATTATACACTTTCTCTCCAATGCCCACCGTGGCTCCATACATTCTTCTTCAAATAGCTGCGCTCCCTAGGGTAATCACGGCACGTCAGCCCGGCCCAAAGTCCTTGTTTGGTGCCGTCAATTACAATCAGATTTCCAAAATATCAGGAACCAACTCTCTCCGCAAAGTCATGCTCAGAAGTCTAACATCTAAAAGTGATTGATCATTCATCCCAATGGAAGGATTTGGTTTAAACATGCATAGCGTAGATTGACACGTACCAAAATTTCACGTTTTCACGTAATCGAAGTTACCTTGGTTGTGTAGTCCGTTATCCATCTGGTGCCTCGGCGGTGCCTCTTCATCTTTCTCATGCTTCCTCTTGCCATTAGGCGTATGCAGCACTCCATTCCCACTGATTGCCAGCGCTCCGTTGGTAGTACTCGCCGATGCAGGGACAACTTTGCCGTCATCCTTGACCTCAACGCCATTGGTAGCTATCTGGATCTCCTCTTTACCTGCCGATCCGTTGGCTACGGCTTCCCTGGCGTTTTCCATGACCTTCATCTTCCTCGTCTCCCCTCGTACCTTCTCTATGTGTTCGAAGTAGCCCCTGGGAACAGGAGTGACATTTTCTCCGTTGAAGACACCCACTTCGAACTCTTGGTTCTTTCGTGCTGTCATGCCGGCGAGCACAGCTGGCGCGCAGGCCTCCTGTAAATCATCCAACTTTTGAAAGATAACCTTCTTCGCACCAATATACAAAGCTATTGCATCGTCGTCCCGTTTGTGAGCTATAAGCTCGGATGGAGAAGCTAAGTCAATGCCATAAATATGGGGATGGCGTATTTCAGGGCTGCAGCTGGCAATGTATACACCTTTAGCGCCGCTTTCGGTGGCTATGTCCACAATTTACCTCGACGTGGTTCCGCGGACAATGCTGTCATCCACGAGAAGCACGGTCTTTCCGGCAAATTGCTCTTCCATTGCGCTGAGTTTCCTCCTGACGCCTTCCTCCCGGGCCTTTTGATTTGGCATGAGAATATTTCGGAGTCAGCATTACTCTTTCAGGAAAAGTTCTGAGTCGCGAGACATGTTTTGGGAGCAGAGGACTCTGAAGACATGTCTGATCATAAGAAGCATGATTGGGGAAGAATTGCCTCGGAAAGTATAACGTACGGAATACGTAGGGGTTCTCGATAAAGCCCTGACAATATGCCTTTTTCAGTCGTGCAGCGACAATTGGCGCACTGGTGTTTGAGGTTTCGAGGATGGGCATGACAACGTCGGTTTCCTCCGAATGATCGGCTGTCAGGACCTTGATAACGCGATCTCCGAGGAAACGACCCATATTCTCTCAGCTCTGGTGGACACTTATGCCATCGATAATCGCATCAGGTCTAGCGAAATAGCAGTACTCAAAAATATCCGGGCAGTAAGCTTTCTGCTCTTGGACTTGGGCAAACACTGGGGGTAAGCGTTTTGGAATGATCACTGCTTCTCCTGGTAGAACGTCGCGAATCTCCGTTCTTCTGTACCCAAGCTGGCGTAGGACCACTGATTCTGAAGCCATCATGTAATCCATTCTCTGTCCGCTAGCAGATGGCCGAGAACCTAGCACAAGAGGACGTATACCTCTAAAGGATTTCGGATTCAGCGTCTCTTTTCCAAGGCAATGACACTAGCCATGAGACAGCTCGAAGCGGTAGTGATACCGTTTTGCCTCCAATCATATCTTGTGAGGCGAAAAAAATTCCAGAACAGGAAGAGCTTGCTTCGAAAATATACACACCATGAGTCTCGAAAGCCGAATATGCCGAAACCTGCGAGAATTCCAGTACACGCCCATCCTCCTTCCAACCGGTCGTACATCCGGCTCAGAGCAGAGAAGATGTCGTCACTGTTCACACGTGCCTTGCCGGTGACTCCCAGCTCGTTTGTAAAAATATTTATCATCGTCGATGCCCTTCCTCGTTCAAAAAGTGCTTCAACTCCGGGGCATTGATGGGTTTGCCCCCATGGGCAAAGCAAATTCCGTAAAGGTAGTTGGCAAGAAATGGCTGTTCAAGTTTTCGGAGTCAGCATGTCTTCTCTAAGATAGATTCAGACTTCTGGGAATTTTAAGTATTTGGACAATCGAACCCCCCACTCCTCCAGCCCATGTTTTGTGAAGCAAAATTCGCTATCCATCAGAAGGAAATCACTACGAAAAGACGTACCTGAGCTTCTGCATTTGCGCTAGTATCTGCAGTAGGGTAGCGTACATGCCCAACGCCCTGCCGAGTTCAGCATGAGAAGACTTCGAAGCAGTCGAAATCAAAAGCCCACCATCTATCCGCGCAGGTCCGGTATTCGAGCGCCGTCTTGAAGACTGTTGCAGCGAGGACATTTCCTTTGCATTGGTAGATTTTGCCCCCTGAGCCACAGGTCGCTATTCCACATGCATCTGTCCGACTCTCAGTATTGGCCTGAGCGCAATATGCATCGGCATTACCTTGGCCACGGTGCTGTAAAAGGTACAAGGCCCCATGAATCTCCGCAGCGACAAAATTATCTACCGGCTGTGCGCATGTGATGGCATCGATTCCACACATCTTCAGTATACGTTAGATACGAGGTCAAATTGGGTTTCTTCAGAGTGTTTTACTCTGTAGAAGCTGTATCGGCAACATAGGGTCCAAGCGATTAAATTTCAGGCTTTCATTCCAGCTTGATTGGTACGTCAAGGTCGGCTAGCGGAGTTGTTGCAGAATAAGAGCTTCGGCTTCATTGGGCGAGTACTAGAAAAGGTAGCCTTTGGTCTGAAGAGATTGATGGTAGCCATTGTGTAAAAGTTCAAGCTTGCAAGGAGCGGGTATGGGGTTTGAGAGAAATTCTTCGAGGCTCATTGCGGGGGCTATCCTAGTGTGCCAAGCCGGCCCTTTTCCGCTCCGGCAGCATTCACAACATCTCCCGCTGGAGCGAGGGGAGCAGTTGATGAACAGACACCACGCAATGCAACGGTTTGTGCGCTCAGCTCATCTTCATAGCTGGGATTCAGCTCTCTGTAGGTCTAGGACTATCCAACAAGCTCTTGATTGGGGAGGAACATGAGAGAAAGTTTTCAACTCATCCTCTCACTGAAGTGCAGTGCGCTTCCTTCAAGTATGGGATTGCCCACACTTTCTTCGAACCTGTCTCGTTTCGTGAAACACACAGCCAATGTCGTGGGTTTTACTGCTAACCCAGATCTCTGTCAGCCAGAGATGGGTCTTTGTGCCCTATCTGCAGATGATCTGCGTTCCAGTCTTCCTCAAAATTTTCATGTTGTAGCGGGGGTATAATTGTCCAATTCTCCGGCATTGTTGCCATGCATACGCCAGTCTGCGTTTGATCTTCTTAATTGTATCAAAGGACCTTGGAACAATTTTGCAGTGACTGTCGCATTTGTAACAAAGACACTTGTTGGACAAACATGGCACTGAATATGGAAACATCCACTTTCATTGCTTGGCGTTAGCTTTTGGCAAGACTTATCCCAGTCAAGGAGAAGGAGACCTGAGTCTCAAACCTAGTGCTCTGACCTCATGTCCGACAGTTTGCTGAGCTGAAAGGTATCAAGAAAGTTGCAGTGCTATGCTTTGTTGCCTGCACAAGAAGTGGGGATGAGATGGCTTCACGCAAGGTCATAAATCCATCGTTGATCCCTTTCGCTGCAGCCTACTTGAATATTCTCGGCGTCGTTGGACTTCTCAAAATCCTTCAAGGCTTCTAATACTGGCCTAAACTATTCAGCATCCTGATCTCTCAGTGTCAATTTACCGTAGAGTGAAGCTGTCAATACAGGTATGTGGCCTCCTCAGACAAATCTCGTTGAGTCAAAGTAATCGCTTTCAAATGTTATTTCATTGGCTTCATATCAACCTTAGTCCGTCCGAAGAATCTTGTTGACCAGGTTCTAAAAACATAGTGCACCATCTCCAAACTTCTCCAACCTCTTCAAGTACCTTTCGTCCAAGCTGTCCTGTCAGAAGAGCGCCATTCCTTGCAGCCTGCTTTCTTCGATGCTTTTGCATAACATCGAAAACGACCTGATATCTAACTTTTCTTGGAAGTCATCGTGACACGCCTTGCTTGGTCCGACTACCTGTCTCAGTCCTATTCAAATTGTTTTACTTGGATCATGCCTGCCAAAGACCAAGGTGTGATCGTTCTCGACGACGAGGATAATGCAGGTACTCCTAATTCAACAGGCAATAATACCTCTCCATACTCTTGGTAGGGTGCTGATTGTCCTCATTAGCATCACTGAATGGATGCCTAGCAGTCGTCAATGACTCCAGAACAAAGACCGATCAAGTCCCACAACATTCACCTCACTCAGATCTCAAACACCACTCGGTCGCATCGGTACAGTCAGCATTCCAGAGCCCTACCGTGGGAACTCCAACGATAACATCACAGGCTAGCCACGCTCTTCCTCAGTCATCATCACAAGCACACTATTTACGAGGCTCCTCAGCTTCGGGCACCAAACGGTCGTCTCGGTGGTTACCTCAGAGTCCCAGCATGGAGATCTCAAAGACATGTTCACCAACGAGCAACCTTGATCCCGCATACTTTGCAACTTCTTCCTGGAGCTTCCCAAACCCCGCAGCCACCTGTGAGGAGTTCGCCACTCCATCGAGGCGTGCCTCAATTTCCCCTAAGACTCCTAGGCTTGGACGCCGAGAGTTAGCTAGCGCTACCATGATTCCTAGCAGATCTTCGTCGACGACCCAGGGTCCGCGTCCGCTCCCGCAGCCAATAACAACGGAGCTCACGGACGACGATGACTCTGCAGACGAGGAGAATCTGGCTCTATGGATGGCGCAAGATGCCGAGGACGAGATGAGACGGTCATCGTTAGCAAGCTCAAACTCTATGGCCGCAACCTCACGAAGATCCTCCCTAATCATCCCACGCAACCTCCCAATAACATTGCCTTTCGTCGGCTTAGACAGTTTCACACATAATGGCATTCTACTGGCTGAGAAGGTGTACGTAGAACTTCAAGACAAAGATTTCCTGAGGATCGTTCATATTATCCAAGACACGTCGACGTCAGCAGTTACTTTACGAGGCTGGAAATTTCGACGGACCAGGGAGATGAATGGTGTCGTTGAAAGAAAGCTGAACGAAGTCTGCTGGATCCTTCACATCGATGAGGACGACCCAAGAGATGCCAAGCTTCAAGGCATGGAGACTGTACCTGTTTGCGAAATCGTGAAACGAAGACGCATTCGACTTACCAATCAATCATTTCCGGCCTTGAGCTGGCGCGATGACGGGAAGAAGGACAACCCAGAGACCATTGAGAACGACCGCGTCCTTGTGTGTAGATTTAAATACCTCTGCCTCTACGCTAATGCAAAAGCTCGTGCCTTGTACAAATGGTGCGAGAAAGGAATCCACCGACTTCGGGAAGATGAGTGTGATCAGCGCTTCGACAATAGCATGAAGGATGACGAGCTTCGCCACATTTGGAGAGGCTCCACGGTGCCAGGCGGAGCGCAAGAGGGTTGGTTGCCGGGAGAAAGAGAGTTTTTACGCCAAGAAGTTGTTTCACACAAAGGCATTGCGAGTCGGTCTTCACTGAAAGTGCCATCAGGTCCGGAATTCCCTATTGGAGATCCCATGAAGCGTGGAAGTGTAGGATGCCTTCTGACAGAAGACGACCTCCAGCGAAGCTACGACCGAGCTACCCAAAGTATAAGTACTAGAAACGATGACCTCTTACACAGCGATGATACGATAATAAGCAATGAAAACGTCGGAGAAGTCCTGACCTCGCCAATCCTGCGTTCACGAGAGCAACGACGAACCCGACGAGAGTCACACTTCAATTTCGCAGGCTTCAATGGCCTTCCTATTGATTCCAGCGACTACGACACAGATGAAGAATGTGGTATGTCTGCATTGAGGCGAGGCCTGAGGCAAAGCTCCATTCAGCCCCGAAAATCCAGAAACAAGTCGCCCAGGATCATCGAGATTGACGCTCAAGTCAAGACGTCTTCGAGCTCCGGAACGTTCGAAAAGCGATACGAAGGGAAGATAACATCAAGATACTATCCCACGCCAGGCCTGGCACAGAGGAAGCGATCGGCTGATGTAGCAGGTGGTTCCCCTGCCAGACCGACAAAGAGAGTCGATCGAGGTTTTCGAGTGCAGTCAAGCAACGGAGATCTTCCCCAAAAGTATGACAGTCCGGGCAATCGAGCCTTACCTGGCAACAACAGATACGATCATGAGGAGCCAGCTTCTTCGGACAGCGAAAGAACAATGGGCAGATCTCAGTCACCACCAGATCATGTAGAAGAGATACACACTCCATCGAGGTCCAGGAGCTACAAGACGACCTTTTCTGGCCTTCTTACTCCGGTTTCGCGACGAAAGGACTCAGCACTTCGACGATCGAGGGACTCAATGCGATCTCCTGAAACGGGCGGTTTCACGGAAGGGTCAACGCCGTTATCCAAGACAGCACGGTCTTCAGTCGTCAGTCAGATTCAGACGTACGGTACAACAGAGGATGATAATAATATTGTCGATCTCACAAAGCCACAAGCCAATCCATATGGGAGTTCCCCCAAGTTACGTTCTTCTATATTCCGGCAACCCGGTCCGTCAACTCCGTTGTACGCACGCTCAGCCATACCTTCCAAGCATTACGCGACGTCGTCTTCTTCTAAGCAGAAGATGTCTCGGCCCAGCATTGCACATCCGCCCTTCAACGCGAAATCTCACTTGACGTCCACAAAATCGCGTCAAAATATCCACCGCATATCTCCAGATTGTCTATCAGTGGCTCCCGGATCATCTCAAGCCTACGGAATGCTCTCTCATCAGATCACTAAAGCCACTCCTGGCCCATCATCGCGGCCTATCGAGAACTCTCGTCAGCAAAATCAGTCTACAATCATCAACGCGCCCGCTTCAAAGGCAAATCAGCGGAGGTACACGTTTGGTGACTGTTTCTGCGGAGCTGGAGGCATGTCCAGAGGAGCAGTGAGTGCAGGGTTACGTCCTCATTGGGGATTCGACTTCAATCTGGCAGCTTGCCAAACCTATGCGATGAATTTTTTTCGCACCCCGATTTACAACGTTTGGGCCGATCAATTCTCAGATGCGAAAAGATATTACAAGGTTGATATTTGCCACATGTCGCCGCCCTGTCAATTCTTTTCCGATGCGCATACGGTCCAAGGCAAGGACGACGACATGAACACCGCGACTCTCTTTGCCATCTTCAACCTGCTCGAGAAGGCTAAGCCCAGAATAGTCACACTCGAGCAAACCTCTGGGCTCATTCGCCGTCATCCTATCTTCTTCAACGCTGTAATCAACATGTTCACCTCAAGAGGCTTTAGT